GGGAGTTGAAGTCCACTCATCTTAAAGTGGCCAAGTTTGGACAACACTGGTCTAGGTTGTAGGGTCATGTTACAATCAGATCAAATTGAACAACAGGAATATCCATGAAGTTGGAATCCAACATTTCCAAGAGTAATTAGGAGTTCACAGACCTTCAGGCAATTAACGGTAGAATAAGAGGTTGTGAGAGGGAGGAACCTCAATGTGGCCTAGCGATGCAACCCCCCAAAAATACCTTTGAAAGATTATTTTCTAAAACATTCTACAACCTAGGTAGCAAATTCGCGTGACTTATTTAGGGTTGACCATCACCTTGGCAATGATTTCCAGCAAGGCATTTCCCCAAAACAAGAGATGAATTAGTATCAGCCTCTTCAGATAGCACCCACGGGAGAGAGATGAGGGAAAGTGACCAAGTGTGTAGTAATGTCATGATGCGAACTCCATCCCTTTGTTGCACTACAGCATCACCAGGCACATTCCCTACTTTATCATCGTTGTGGTTAGGAATGGATCCCTGCAGCTCTTAAATTGGGAATTTGGGGGATTCAGCCTTGCTCATGCACACAGTTCAGCAACGGGTGTGTCTGCAAACTAAATGCTTGGTACTTTGCACGTGGTCAGGAGTAGAGCACTTTGGAGCATGCCATTAAAGGGGAGGGATTTGTTCTCAAGTGCCAATGCAGATCTTGAGTATCAGCTGCAAGGGGAATTTGCTTCTGGAGGTGGGAGGTAGTATCACCCAATACAGCTGCTTGCTGAAGTATTTGACCCATGGTTCATCTGCCCATCTCATCTCATCTCATCTCATCTCATCTCATCTCATCTCATCTCATCTCATCTCATCTCATCTCTATCTATCTATCTATCTATCTATCTATCTATCTATCTATGCCTACCCAGTCTTTCTATTCAAGAATTCCCAACTCTGTATGTAGCACTGGCTCCTTTTACTTTTTCCCACAGCCACAACCCTGTGAGGTAGGTTAGGCTAAGAGGGAGGGACTAGTCCCAAATGCCCCAGAGCTTCCATGTGGGGGGCAAGACCTGGGTCTCCCCATTCCAACACCTTCACTGCCACATCACAATGTTCACACCTTCTGTGTTCTTGTTACACGCTTCCCACCTCAGTTCTCTCCCCATTCGCAGCTTTTCCAATCAAGGGAGGGTCCCTTGGAATGACAGAGAAGCTGGAGAGATGGTGTGGTGTAGTGGTTAAGGTCTTGGACCCATCTATGCAAGACTATTTGAGCTGAACCGAACCCTTCTGCTGGGTGGACATGAGGATTTGCTAGGCTCAAAGACCAGCCCGAATTACTTTTTTGCCTCGCGTTGCCCCTTGGCAGCTCTATTCTTCTCACAGCCAGAATGGTTCAGACC